TCTCGATACATGCATATTTCCTAAACGGTGTTAGTGATTTTTTTTCTATTCAGAAGCATTAGTTTAGTTGTAAACCTTTTAGAAAAAGGTAAGATTATTTGATACTAATAATCACAGCATAAAATGTGTGATCAGAATTTTGTATTTGATACCATGTATATTACATTGTTACATGTTATATGTATATATCAATTTTAATGTTCCTTTTGAATATATCTTATATTGTCTATTGGCTGCTATCAAACCCTCCTCCTTCGTAATCAGAGAATGGGCTTTAAAAATAAGTTTTTATCAGGTGTGGTAAAACATTGAACATAGTACACTCATGTCTTTATTTTAAGGACGCGGCAAATTAAAATAGTCCCTCCTTCGCATTCACATATTGTCGCTTCACTTGCACCCCCCCCCCCCAATACACACAACACACACAACACAACACACGCAACACACAACACACACAACACGCACAACACGCACAACACGCACAACACGCACAACACGCACAACACGCACAACACGCACACACACACACGCACACACACACACGCACACACACACACACACACACACACACACACACACACACACACACACACACACACACACACACACACACACACACACACACACACACACACACACACAAACGCACACGCACACGCGCGCGCGCGCACGCGCACGCACACACACATCTACATACACATACACACATAAGTACATTAAGGGCGAAAATACAGATATTGCTTTTCTCGGTATGCCACAGTATGCTATGCTATGACATAATCCCCATTTGTACTGATGTTCTTATAAAGGTCTGTGAAAGTCAGTTGGATTTTCAACTTTATTTAGATAAAACAATCAGAAAATGTTGAAAAGTGAAATAACTTACTGTCTAACATTATATTACGAATTTACACTAATGATACATTGCATGATTTCCTATATAGCTACATTGCCTCGAGCAACATATCGAGAGAGGATGTTCTTATCGCGGAACGGAATCAGGACAAACATCCTTATCAAACATTCAGATCTATGATATGATTATCCTACAATACTATGGTATACAAATGGTTGTTTTACGACTACTTAGCTATTGCATTTCGATCTCGAAATCAGAAAGAAGGAAAGAAAGAACGAGAGCAGCTGAAATAGACTCACAGAGACTCAAATGAAGTGTGAAAGACTCCTAAACAGAGAGACAAAGACGGAAACTTGTATGTAAAGAGAAAGAGAGAAAAATACTCATAAAGAAAGAAAGAGAAGAGTTCAAAGCTACGATGAGGGATGGGTGATCACTCCAGATGATTTCCGGCTATGTGGACAGCCACCTACGTCTTCCTCCTTGATGTCATTCAGGTATTTGTTCAGGTTCGGGCAAAGGAAGTTGTCGAAGCAGCTCGCCACGGTCTGGTTCTTCACGATCCAGCAGAGGTTTGAGTCACAATTCAGGGGATTTCCTTGATTGGGAGAGAAGTGGAGTCGGTTATTCAGTGATAGAAGGGGGTTGTAATTACTGCAGATGCTGTAACTAGTGTTGGGAGAGGCACTGGTTTACGTTTCGTAGACTAGGGTTTTATACCGGATTACCTATTCAATCTGTTTAGTGCGCAAAGCAGATAGCAGAAACTTCCGGCAAAACGCTCTTTCCCTCCAGACCACACAGATCACCCGAATAAAAATAACAAAAAACCATAACGCCCTTTATGAACAACCAATCACTACCACGGCAATATTCTAAACCAAAAACAAATGAAGGCAACACAAGCCCAAGTACCATTGACGCCGATGTGGAGAGCGCCGTGAGTCTCCTCGATCAGCGGTCTCAGCACGGCCTCCGACAGCGTCATGAGGGCGTTGTGGCGGAGGTCCAGCGACACGCTCTGCACGCCGGAGAAGGCGTTCTCTCTGGAGGGAGGGAGGGGTCATATCATTGTTTTATCAGTGGGAATTTTGAAGATGATTGCTTGTGTAAGGTCTTAATGCGACTGTTCTTTCTGTAGATAATTGTCTTTTGTGGGGATCTTTATTGATTATGTTCACAACAACAACAGTGGTTATAACGACAATACTGATTTGAGAGCGAGGCCCCGCCCAAAATGCCTCCCTCCCGCCCGGCTGCCTTACTCGATGACGGCGATGGCGTTGCAGGAGAGGTTGACGAAGAGGTGCGAGGCCACGTGTCCGGGGATCCGCAGGGCTTCTTCCTTCAGTTCGGGAATCGCGTTGAGGGACAGATCCAGCAACTCCAGGCGGGGCAGACCTGGCGAGGGAAGGTGGAGGGCGGGAGGTGAGACAGGTTGGGGAGGAGATTGAGGTTGAGAGTGAGAGGTTGTAGAAGGAGCGAGAAGGAGAGGAGTAATCAGAGTAGGTAAAGGCCAGATATGACATTCGATTAGACCTACTGTTTCCATATAAAAGCTGAAAACTTGGAACACACGTACATAAGAAAACCATTCACAACCGCAATCGACAAGTTACCAGCAGGTGGACGTGGGCTGCATGCCGCTTCAGTAGACACACAAACACACACACACACACACACACACACACACACACACACACACACACACACACACACACACACACACACACACACACACACACACAGACTCACCAGCAAATGTATTGGGCTGGAGACGGCAGAGCTTATTTCTGTCGACCCTGAGTTCGCGCAGACCGGCCAGCTCCATAGCCGAGTATCCGGGCATGAAGTCGATCTCGTTGTCACTGAGCAGCACCGTCTCCAGGAACGGCTGGTCGCTCATGGTCGGGAAGTTGACGTAGTGGAGGGCGTTCTTCTCTGTCGGGGGCGGAGCTTTGCTATTGTTGGCTATATTTTTTTTTTTTATATGATTTACTATATACATATATTATTATTATCATTATTATTATTATTATTATTATTATTATTATTATTATTATTATTATTATTATTATTATCATTATATATATATTTTTATTTATTTATTTTTTATTTTTTTCTTGGGGGAGGGGGTATCTCGGATTGGTCTGTTGTTGATTTTTTATGGAATTGTCCTGAGTATTCTTTCAAATTGGATTATTCTGAAAGTAAATCATATACATTTTGGTGAGCTGAGCTCGACATATTTTTATCAAACTGAAATATCTGTCAAATCAAGTTGGAGAATTTCCTGCTGAAGATTTTATACTGCAAATTCTGAGTATTTTCTTCCTCGCCAATATCGTTCACGAAACATACTTTTTTTAAAGCTAGCAACTACAACTAGTTATGCATTTTCTAGTTACCAAGCAGAAAAGGTAACACCAAAAATAAAATAAAAATATGTATATATATATCTCTCTCTCAAAATTTCTGCTGAGAGTGAATAATTTCCTCATCCAACCGCATGACACTCACGGAGGTTGAGCACCTTAAGGGTGGTCTGGAAAGGGAGAAAGGCGTGATTGTCGACCATATCGAAGTGGTTGTTAACCAGGTGGACTTCCTCGAAGGTGAGAGCCGCCCCCCACAACTCGGCCTCGATCTTGCACTGCAGTTGCGTCCCGTCCACTCGCAGGCTGGGGGGTGGGGGAGTTGATAATTAATGGAAAAAGTGGAATTTATGGTTTAAAAGGTAAAGTGAAAAAAAGTAAATAAATAAAAGGGCAGATAACATAATCCGTAATGAATAAAGTTATTATAATAAATTAGATATATCAGCAGGTATCAGCATAAGTACTGATAAATGGAAGGACGAACGATTAAAAATATATAAGAAAACAGTGAAAACAGACAGACAAATGAACTTCTTAAAGAACACAAAAGAACTTCAAAGGAATACAGAAGGAAGAAACACAGCCTATGCATGATTCGATAGGCCTACCGTATATAATGTGGCGCGGGGAAGGCGACCATGGTGAGGATGTCCGTTAATTCGGTGCAGGTGAGCAGGTCGGGCCCGCAGGTGAGTTCTGCCGAAGTGCCGTTGTTGCACACGCACTGAGGGAGACAGGCGCGTGAGAAAGGGGGGTTAGACTTACTCACAGTGACGGGTATATAAAGGATTATGACACAATATTTACGTGTGTGTATGCAGGTGTATGACACACATTTATATATTTGTGTCACAGCTGATTCCGCTGCTTTGGAGGAGCCTTCGACAATAGGTAAAGCAACGAATAGAATTTTGCTGGTGGAGACCACTCGCTTTTCTCTGTATTTCAGAAACTAGTTTGGTTTCGAATGCCCTTCCTCCAAAATAGGAAACACTGGCTCAAATGCAAGCAACATGTGTTTAGACCGATGCAATTGGCCTTTCTTCAAGTACCTTTGTAAATATATACGATATATTTTTCCCGTTTTCCTTGTAGTAAAATTGGAGGGAAGGTGAGTATCTGGATCGTAGACGAAACAAAATTGAAAGTTATCCGAAATGTACGGCAATCTAGAGCAAGTCATTTCATCTGTTGAGTTTGACAACTACGGAAAGATTTCGAATCTCACAGATTATCATCACATACTTACCTTGCAAGGGAGAATCTCTTCGGGCATTGGACACAAGTTGCAGATAACAATTTCTGCTTCAACGGCAGGAGAGGGAACTGCCTGTCTGACAGACGTAGCATCGTGATGGGGTTTCGATACAGCAGAGCGGACGTCTGCCTTCGCCTTCGAGCGGGTCTCCTTCGAAATTAGCATTCGTCTTGGTGGCAACGGGTCTCCCCAACCCACGTGTATTGCAAGAATAGCAATCAGAACTACGAACTGCAACTTGTAAGTCATGGTTTATCGTGGAAGCGGTCCTATGCACTCAAATAACAACGACGACGCACGGTTGTTGCAGCCAGCGGTCTCGTCAGTGGACCGGTTTCGTCAGGGACTCGGGTTCGCAAGGCGGAGAGACCATCGTATATATCCCGGCGACGGCAAACGACCCACGGGATTTGGCGTCTCGGTGCCGGCGTGGCGTGGTAACTAGAATCGTAGTACAGTGGAAAGTCCTTTGTCTGGTCATCTTATCTCTGCGAGGGGGCGT